ACATGTGCTACCCCACCCGACGACAAATTGTTTTGGACAAATTTGCAGGTGGTCGCTTTGCAGCCATGTGCTCCATTCCATGCAAAACATACTGTGACATTGCCAGGATCTGTCCACTTGCCATTCTCACAAAAGGTGAGAATGGCTGTGGCAGTAAGGCAAAAGTCACGTGGTTTGTGGGCGGAAGAGCCACAGAACCAGTAGAGGGTAATAGCTGGGACAGGTAAAGGGGCACAAGGAGGCCTGGTGAGAAGAGTAGACCCGGAACTCAAAAGAACAAGGACTGAAGTTCCTTTACGTATTCTTGCATGGCAGCAAACTGGGAAATGCGGTGTTGATCTAAAATCACATCCCAGATAGCTTGATGAAAAACAGCAGGGGAGAATGTGGCTGAATGTCAAAAATAAGCAGCTCAGATGTGTATATTATAGAGAATATATAGAGGAAAATGGACTTGGAGGTCATTCCGGTTGATAAGGGTTTTGTAATGACCATACCAGAGGTTCGCAATTTCACGCCTATGGGGTGAGTTTAAGTACTGCTCTATAAGCTCTATGAACCGCGTAGCGGCCTCACGGAGATCTCCATAAGAAATGTCAAATTCAGCCTCTTTCAATATTAGCCAGCCATCTGTGAAAGAGACAGTCTTGTTATAGGAGGGGTTAATAAAGAGGGAAGCATGGGAGCACTCATTGGTCAGTAGATGAATAGGGAAGTATTATGTCCAGCGGGCGTGCATTATTTTGATGAAAGGCTCTGGATTGCAGCTGTCGCGCCAGGACAGCTGTTTAATTAGTGCCAGATCAGGCAGAAGATAAATGTGTGAGGGCACAGAAGAGCCCTTGATGGTGCAAGAAGAAAGATCTGAGAAAGGCAGTTGAGAAGAGGGAAAAGAAGGTAAAGAGAGCATGTGGTAGAGTGCAAAGAAAAATGTGTGTATATGCGCCTGGGGTAGCACAATTAAGTGCTAAGGAGAGTTGCATATATGCACTAAGGCGCAAGAAAGCGTGAGGAGAGAATGAGAAGGACATACCGGCAAGTGTGGATGGCAGACCAGATGGCACAGCTGTGGCACAGGCTTAAAGAGCCGCAGAGGCAGTGTCAGCAGCAACAGCAAGGAGGTTTTTCTTGGTGTAAAATGCGGTGCTGTAAGGACCATTTATATGTTCTTATTTTCTTATCTTTTTGTTCCATGTCTTGGTTCTCAGACACATTCCCCATCACACCTCTGGCTCTAGGGCTAGAAGTATCCTTTGCTATCTTGCTTCTCATAGCCCTCACAGGCTTTCTTAACCATCATTATCACTTCATATTGCAAGTAGTGGCTGTGGGGCTAGTGGTTGCGGTGGTTGTGGTAGTATAAACAATGGAACAGATTGGGGATGCGCAGGACGTGGAGGTAATGTAGATGATGAGACAGAGCAGGGCTGGGGAGGACGTGGAGGTGGTATTAGTAGTGTAGACAAAGCAGAGTGGGAGTAGGGAGGAGGTGGATATAACATTGTAGGATAGGAAGGAAATTGAGTGGGAGGCTGTTATGGGGCATCTAAGGCCCCTGACAAGCTGGACAACAATTGAAAATAAATAGGCTAATGAGGATAGAAAGGAGGAGGCTGATGGGGATGGAAAGGGTGCCTGGATGATCCTTGTATCTGCAAATAGTGTTGAGTAGGCGAGTGTTGAGGAAGCATTGCATGGCTTTGGGGGTCCTGGTCTGTTGGCGGAGCCGCAGGACGAGGGAATTAGCAGTTGTTTAGGTGAATGGAACTAAACTTACCTTATTGGGGGTTTGAGCGCGAGCCTGATTCATGTGGCTGTCCTGCAATTCAAGTTCACAGTTAGTTTTGTCCTTCATCCTTCAATCTGAACAAGAACCTTGTTGTGAGTGGGAGAAGGAGGAAGCAACCTGTGAATTAAAGTCAGACATAAATCAATGAGCACAATGAAGGAATGAAAGAAGGGTGAGAGAACCAGCTTGTGGCTTCCACATTTATATTGAACTCAATGCAACCTATTTATATATCATTATGGCCTTCCACATTTACACACCTTTGCTCCACAATTACATGTTCTCTCACAATTCTATGTCTGGATTGAGGCCAGCCTTGGAGGCTGCCGTTGATTTTCCATGATAAACATAACAAATAAATTGACGTAGGCAAAAATACAAGTTAACAAATGGGTATATGGCACAGAAATTGAGTAAAAAACTATTGAGCACATATCTATCAAGTTCATCTCCTTCAAGCACAGTTCCCTCTCCCCAACCCCTATTACCCACACATTTTTAATCTGCACTTCTGTCAGAGAAGAAATCGCTTTCATTGCCTGTATCGGTTTCCAGGCCATCATCTGAAGGTGTGTTGTCTGAGTAAGCAGATACATAAACCACAGTGGCCAGCTTGATGGGAGCAGGATGGAAGTCAGGTGTTTCCAATGAAAGTCCCTTTTGTATCATGTATTCCTGCAGATACTTCACTTCGGTGACACTACTTGTCAATGCTTTCCTGCTTCCTCCCAATGTTTTCCTGTAAAATGCCTTTGTCATGGACAACTCCATCACTTTCCATGCAAATTTCTGGACTGCACATTGAAGCAAATTTTGTCCTGCAATTTTGGCATGATAAGCTTTATAAATAGCAGATTCAGTCATAGTATCCAACTCATAACTTGATATCTCTGAATCATATGCAGCCTCCTATCATATTTATGAGGGCTTGAATCTGAATAGGTTGCAATACCACATACTGGCTGAATATGATGAGATGCTACTTTTCTTTGAAATGAGTGGTGGGCCTTTAATGTGTTAGATGCTGATCTGGTTGAATGAATGGGCAAGGAAAACAGTTTATAGTGCCCATAGCGGGTGTAAGAGCAACATCGAGGACAAAGGTTGGTGGGATCGGTGTGATTTCTTTGTTGTCATTTTTGCATAGGTGTTTGAGGTGGCAACAACACAGGGGAGGGTATGCTTATTATTGTTTCCGGAGTATCATGAGGATGTAAGTGTATATGGTTATTGGAGGACATGTCAATTGATTCCTCTGGTGTTTTTTACTCAGAACTGACAACGTCACAGTTACACATGATCATAGTTGTGGAAGAGTTGGGCTAAGGTCGGAGTTCAAATGACTTAGCAAAATTGTCTCCACTACCACGCAACTACCACTCCTTATCAGTATCAGATTCTACTATGTTGAAGTGCTCCGCTGCTTAATGCTCGTCACATTTTTCCACTAGAGATGACATATTAACACATCTAAATGACCCTTTACAAGCTTTTGCCCATGATATGGAGTGTATGCAAATAGACAACAATGAAGACACTAATGAAAACACCACCAGACCAGCATTTCAGTATCACCCTATATCAGGCTAAAACTATGGCAAGGGGGCCAATTTGTTTGAGCAAACAGATGATGGGAATGATTAATTCATACAGTATTGGAGAAGACAGACATTCTGGCCTTTTGAAGATAGAATTGAATGGAAGCTCCCAAAATATCTGCTTGAAATGCTGAATCAAACACAATTGGGTAAGTTCCTTAAACTTTCATGGGTAAAGTCCGAGTCCTATTGAAAGTTATTGACAACATTATATTTAACTCCGGTATCACGCAGACTCTTAATCCAAAGCCGCTATCCTTCACTTCAGCATACAAACTTTCCAGTCTCATGGATTATTTGCCCAGTGGTCCAACTTTCCTGACTATTGCTAACATCAACACTAAAGTATGCATGAAGGCTACATCTTATGCATGGATGTGCATTGCTTTTATGCCTATTGTGACTTTTGATGATGTCCATACAGAATACCAGACAGTTCTTGAAGCTTGCCTATGGCATTGTTGCATGGACATCATCACCAAAAACCTCAAGTGTGTCACAAAATATGGCCAGCTCACATCAGACCCATTAGGCATATTAAGGTAAGGGCTACCTTCACACCTTTAGTCGCCTTGATAGCGGACCTGCCTAAACAGCAATTAATTGTGTGCACATCAAAAAGTGTCTTGCCAGTTTCTCTTGCTACAGTCCACTAATTTGGCAATCCCTTTCCACATCCCTTGCGCAATCGTCACAAAACTATCAGCCTTGTAGAGAAACTCAACAAAAAGGTGTCTGAGCCCTGGGACCTTGCTGTGTATCTTCCTACTGCTAAGGAGTTGGGTCTGAGTGGAGTGAACCTGCCATTCTGGTATGACTGGCACCTCGCAATTCTTGGTTCCTGAGATACTACACACTGGCCACAGGTTCTTTTTTGATCACCCGCTAGTTTGGTGCAAGGAGGTAGTAGGAAAGGAGGAGCTTGATGCTCATTACAAGAGTATGCATATGCATGTTGGCTTCCAGCCATAGGATCTCTCATGTGAGACAGATGACAGGTTGCGAGCATCACAAAATTCAGTGTACAATTGTGTGCGCTATAGCTGGAAATGCCCCACCTCAATTTGTTTGTGCCATCTGTACCATGGTGGACTTTTTCTACCAGGTGCAAGCTCCAATTCATACACCCGAGTCCATATGGTGCATGGTCTTGGCACTACAAGAGTTTCACACTGAAAAACAAACAATTCTTGATATAGGTACCTGAAGAGGAAGAGGGGCTCACAATGTTATTGAGCATTTCAAGATACCCAAGCTAGAACTGCTTCAGCACTTTGTACATTCAATCAGACAAATGGGACCACCTGGACAATACTCAACTGACGTGACTGAACAACTTCTGATCATGTATTGTAAATATCTGTTTAGTCACACTAATCATTAGAACTTTGAGGAACAGGTTGTCTGGCAACTGGATGTCCTAGAAAAAGTCTGTCTTTTCAACCTGTTCTCTATTCTGAAAGACTCCAATATCAGCTTAATTCACAAAATAGTGTTGGAGGAAAGTGCAATAGTTGCCAAAATTGATCCTGCAGTGGCTTGGTTAAATTGTGTCTTGCCTGATGAGAAGAAAATGAGTGGGCCTTGCTCAATCAAGAACCATTTCCTCAAAGAAATACACTCTCAGGACTGGTTGGTTGGATTCCACCTTAATAAATATCCAAATGATACTCTATCTATTGCGGACGCGGCTCAAATTTTCAACCTTGAAGATTTACATACTGCACTGGCAGATTACCAGCACCAATTGTCTTATACTGCCAGATATGGCAGGCAAGTCTCGGGACCCAGCACCCCTCTTGCACTCAACCATATCCATGTATGGCACCAGTTCAAAATCTAGTTATTCTCTGTGCACTGGCAAGAAGATCCTACCATTGGTATTGCCAGTTGTGTAGCTGTCCTTTCATATATGATGCCTTGACTGACAACTTTCTGTTACAGTGTCACGTCCAATTCAAGTACAATGTATTTTCCAGCCAGTCCCTTGAACTGGTTATCAACTCCTGGCTCACCTCTCACATTGTTTTGTGTATGCACAGAGTTCCCTGTACGCTGGTTCAAAGAAGACAGTGGATGGGGTACACTTGGAAGAACTGGATGTCAATATGTTCCTGGTAAAGGGGCATGTACGTAGCACACGCACAGCAGCAGGTACTTGTACTTGAACCAGATTAGGGGACATTATTCCCCTCACTGATATTTCACATTCCATAGAGCTACTCCCAGTATATGGTGCTCAAGTTGATTGTACACTTTATCCTGCAAACTTGCTCAAAGTTCCCTCTTACTTCTACATCAATAACTTTTAGAACAAAGAAACATGTTAACTCTTTATTATGGACTTTGCATATGTCATGATTCTATGTATGCCACCACTAGTATACTGTTTCTGTGTTGTCGCCTTTGTAATCTTATTATTTGCTGTTTTGTAATTTTATCATTGAAATAGGAAAGATTCTCGTTATCAAAGTGTTTCTGGCTACAATCATTATCTATTGCTGTAAGGCTGAACAATAGATAATCTTGCTGTCCCAGATAGAATACCTAGGGTCATCCACCAATCAGAGCTCTTTCTGAGTGTTCACACGAGAAGCTTCAGTATTTGATACACTTCAGGCAGCCAAAAAATTGGGGCTCTTAGCTTGATTATCCTCACCAAAAGGTTGGGGCTAAGATCCCCCTTTTCATGGTCTACCTATAGCCATTAGGGACCAGACCTATTTGACATGGAACAGTCCCATCTATTTACATAGGTCCTGTCCCTATACACATAGGGATGGTCCCTTCAAATATTACATTCCACCTGGTGCCAGACATTAATGGGATAAGACCACAAATGCCAGCTATTTAATTTGCAGGTTACATAATAATTCCCACAGGTGTGCACTATGTGGATTGGGTGGACTGAAAGTAGATGGTGCAGACTAAATACAGATTATATGGACTATATAGATTGTGTGGACAAATAATCGAGAAGTGAATTGGATAATAATAAGTAATACAGGACAGATTTGAGTGTGGAAAATGATGGAAATATGTATCTAGCCAAAATAGGAACTATGCAGTGATACAGCATAGCAAAACACAGAATAAAATAAGCATTTGCATATTTTAAAGCTAATAGAGCAATAAGTAACTTTTGATGCAATTATAGAATACTTTCTTGAGAGAATTATTTTAATCTAGGTGCATATGGGACAGGACCTAATCAGATATTGGATGAGCCCTAGTGTATGTGGGACAAGACCTAGGCATATGTGGGATGAGACCTAGATGTATATGGGACAAGACCTACACACATATGGGATGAGACCTAGGCATTACTTGGGAGTTTGATATTTCTTTCCAAGGCCTGTCAGTGATAAGGGCAACAGTAATAGTGGATAACCTTTGAGCGTGGCACTAAAGATGATGTAACATTGTACAGATGTGGGTCCTGGCATTGTTGAAGGTCTACAGTATTATTACAGGGACTATGTTGTCTGTTTCAGTTTTTGCAAGTTGTAACAATATTTGCCAATGTTATTTCAGAAGAAGGCAATAAACAGCTTCTGGCATAACAGGGACTTAAGTCTTGATTCCATCAATATCAATTCTCAGCATTTTTAAACATCCAACCATAAGTTGAGAAGGTCTGCTGGCTATCTGCGTTCTCATACCTATTTGTTGGTTACTGGGTGCAATCATTTTATTCTGGAGATCCTCATATATGATGAAAATTTCTGATTGTTTGTCCAAGAAGTGGAGTTCCTGATGAATTACATTGAGGTTGACTTCTGACTTCTATAAAGATGTAGTGTGCTCCACTTTTGGTGGGAGTAGAGAAGCCTTTTAGCATAATAGCATTGACTTATGCTCTAGGTGTTGATAAGAGATTTTGTTGGGTATTGTAGTTGTCAACCAATTCCTTCCACAAGTTGAAGCTAATACACAATGGTGACACTATAGACCACTATGTTCAGTAATTTCTTATAAACATGTTTTTTATACATCTGACCTCGCTACCTTGAATTCATATATAAACATCAGTGTGAGTTTATTGTGACTGAGAATATCTGTGGAGATGAAATCAAGGGTGCTGGTTTTAGTAGCATATAGATCTTTTCTAGTTAGACTGTTGTTTAGTCTTTTGTCATTTTTTTAATGGACTGGGTGCATTTGCATTTAATTTTATTGTAGCTAGTGTAGCTGCACTCTGATCTTTATCTAGCTTATCTTGTACAGTGACCATAGTAGCTTATTGTCAACAATATTGAAAAATAAATATTGATGTTGTCAGATTTGGGCAGACCTAGCATTTTAAGGAGTCGTTGGCTTAGCTGCAGATATATTGTTGAGTGGTCCTCTGAATTGTTTATCAAATGAGGTTTCAGATCCTCTAGAATTCAAAGGAATAGCTGTTCTATTAGTTATTTGAAGATATTGCCTTTCTCAGATGATTATATATATATAAATACATTCCCAGATTACACTATAGTCTCAAATGTAATAGCTAGAAGAATTTTAGAAGTGGCAGTTAGGTAAGTTTGACTGGGTTTTGTAAGGATATTCCTGGGTTGTCAGTGGAAAATTTTGTTTGAAAATATTGCTACAGTGATGTTGAGATAAAAGTAGGAGCTACACTTATATAGCTATAAATACAAAGCATATAAGACAAATATAATACACTGAATGGATAGGGTCACCAACATTTAGCAAATGTATTTTGGTAGTAAGATCCTCAACTTCTGTAATTGTGGACTTGTTCTTTGAGGATCCAAATGCTATGGTTTTGGTGTATATTTCTTGGTATTTATATATTTAAAATGATAGCTTTCTTAAAATGGTGAATTTTGTACTGTTGTTGGCTCCAGGGTATTGTTTATAGTGTTGCCACAGTTTGGTTATAGATGGGTTTTATTTAGTTGTTATTAGTTAAGCCCTAATCTGGTTTATAAAATCTATAGAAACCACAGTTTCAGTTTAATATTACAGCTGATTCGGAAAACATTGGTTGCACCAACTTTTTCTCTTGTGTCTGTTCTAGCTTAGTAATATGATCTGAATTCCAAAGATGGAAACAACGTGGAATCCCAGCAGCTGCAAACATGTAACCCATCAATAACACTTTGCTATTGACTACCATGCCCTACAGACAGATCAGCAAGGATATCAAAGAGCGCACTTTTTGGTTAATAGAGCATAACTACATCCCATCCGACATCTGCAACATTTTTGGAATCTTTGAGCGTTCCCTTTGCCACTGGCAGGCCAATCAAGAAGCATTTGGCTCTGTAGCACCTCCTATGTACCCCACTCAAGGCCGCCCATATATCCTTGGTGCAAACCAAGCCAAGAGGATATATTTGCTGCTTGAAGACACCCCAGAGATGTACCTGGACAAAATTCAAGACTGGTTAGCCCTTGCACATGATGTGCACATATTGAAGACCGCTCTTTTTGAACATATTAGAGATGTAGGGCTAACTTATAAGGTTCTACAAAAAGCAGCAGCAGAAAGGGATAAAATTTGGAGAAAGGAGTGGTTGAAGGACATCAATACACACTTTACAGCCAGCCAGTTCGCCATGATTGACAAAACCAGCAAGGATGACCGGACAATTTATCAACACTACAGACGGCTGCACAAAGGTTGTCATGCTGCGGTTCAGGCTAATTTTGTTTAGGGAGAACACTACAGCTTAGTAGCAGCACTCACACTCAACAGATATCTGGCCATAAACATAGTCCATGGTTCTGTCAATGGTGAGGATTTTTTCGATTTTATTGTAAATGATGTGGTACATTTTTTTTGTTTATATTTATGCTCATCATTCTAACATGTTACAGCTGTCTGTGATGAACCCGTATCCTCAAGATAAAAGCATCATTATACTTGACAACTGTGCAATACACAAAATGAACGCTGTCCGTGAAGTTGTAGAAAGTGTAGGGTGTGTGTTGATCTTTTTGCTGCCATACTCCCCAGACTTGAATTCAATTGAAGAGAGCTTTAGTTGTGGTACAATTTTCTCTTTTTAGCCTGCGTTTTAGGCTAATACTTGGTTTTTTTAGTCAAAATCTGAATCCGCTGTAACTATGTTCGCATTCAAGAACACGAGTATCCCAAAGTCGCTTTGCTTGAGGCTGCACATACTGTGACAGCTGACAAGGCTCAAGAGTGGTTTACGCACCCCGGATATAATGTAGAAACTGTATTTTAGTGTATGTTGGCCATTTTCTGTGTAAAAATGCACAAAACAATGTTGTATTGTCCAATTACAGGTGTAAATGAGTGTATGTAAGACTAAATATGGTGATCTTTCTTATGTCTATGGTAGGCCTTCAAAACATGAGCCCATGCGAGAGGCTTGAATCCTGCTTCCCTATGCTGTTGTTCTGTAACAGCCTCCAGATTGTCTCCCACCATGAAACCCAACCAATCCAAGCTACTTTTGACATCTTTACCAAGCTTATACAGCTCACAAAACAACAAGAGGCTGCAAGATTTGATTAGCGGGGATGACAAATGGTTCATTTCTTCAATTTCTTCTTTTTGTGGGCTGAATCTGACAAAATGCGACTCTACACCATGCATACCCATGCCCATACTCATTCCTGGACTAATGCACATTCCCGCACCCATTCCCACACTCATTCCCACACACATTCCACCCATTGGCATACCAAATCCCATTGGAAAAGTGGTTAGAGGGTTGTAACCAACAAATGGAGAGAATGCAAGAGGATTAGCAGATGGATTGAAGTAGGGAAATTGTATTGAGGATGGGAGTGGTGCGGTGGTGGCTTTTGCAGCAGGAGATAGGGGGGCCTCTTTTCTGTCAAGGTATATACATTCAACGCTTGTTTTGCTTTGAACAACAGTGATTCAGTAGGGATTTTTTCAAGTGTAGCATCACCTTTCAATATAGCAGCGGCCCAAACCATACAGTGGGGGTATTTCAGTTCAAAATGTAGGTCACTGGCCCGGTGGTGGAAACATGTAATGCTCTTATGCATAACGCACAAGCCAGGCTTTTATTTGTTCAGTATTTTACTAGCTAAATCCTCTAGTTAGTTGTCTAGCTTCCGCTGAAACATTGTGATAAGTATGCTAAACTAGTACACCAGACTATAATCACCTTTTCCGTAGTCAGTCCACCCTCAACTTCCCAATTATACCCGTCCTCGCCTTCAATCTGAGTGGCCTGTGCAACAGACAGGGGCTGGAGCAGGAGCAGGGGTAGAGGGATGAGAATGGCCAGTTCAATTGGCAGAATAGCGGGTTTGATTGGTGCCCTATGCACCAGCGGATATGGTGGGTAGATGGCTTGAATATCGGCCTCATCTAGGCTATCCTCACTGTTGGGCATATCTTGGAGGATAGAGATGGGAGGGATGGTGTTAGGATCACTATTTCTAGCTTGTAAGTCAATGATTCACGGAACAAGAAGGGTAAAATGGCACTTACAACCTTGGAGCAAGATCATGACATGGCGGCAGCAGGGAGCTTTGTTCTTGAGTGTAAGGAATCATTTCTAAAGAGTGGTAGTGGCAGCACCTAACAATGTGACAAGATTCTCATTAGCAAAGAGTAGGGACTTTATACTACAAGGAACATGCTAGACTGCAGGCTGCAGCACGCTATAGTACATACTAGAGATTCCACCTTATTTCTTTTTTTGGAATTCAGATCATATTACTAAGCTAGAACAGACGCAAGAGACAAAGTTGGCGCAGCCAACATTTTCCAAATCAGCTGTAACTTATCACTAATTTCAAACTAGGACAGCACTTTTTTTGCTTATGCTACTTCTTTTGCCGGTCAGGTTGATGAAACTATTAGTCATCTGCAAAATGTTCTCACTCAAGTAAGTTCTTTCTATTTGTTCTCCACCAGTGTCTTTGTCATTGCTAAAATCCTCATTCTTCACTCACTATTAGTGCCTATTAGCTCCCAAGTGCTAAGCCATTGGACTTTACTAGATGATCAAAGCTGACAAGTAAGGGTTGGGATATTAGAATAGTCAAGGTCAAATCCTATTAGCCTTGTTAGACAACATACATCCTGAGTTTGTATTGGACAAAGGCTGGTAGCTCAGTTGGTAGAGCACCACTATATATAAGTAGAGGTCCTGGGCTCAATCCCCAGCTGGTCCACTTTGCTTTCATGCACTTCCTGTGGTCAGGTGACACTTAGAGGTCGCATGCTAAAATCTAATATGGGACAGGCCATTTCAAGTTAGGCTTATTGAAGTTATCCCAAGTGGATTTAGCTGTGTATATGGGGTAGTTATGTAGGTCACATCCCAGATATTAGTATATATTAGACTAGTTTGATACTAAGACACTAATATATGCAATAAGTAACTCTCTTATTTGTTACTCATATGCTTAGTTGGCTTGGAAATCTTGGGAAAGGGATAATTAATAAAATTTTGATTTTATGTGGCTGTATGGTTGTATAATTTTTGCTGAGCATATTCAGATCTTCCAAAGCCACATAGGATTTTTCTATGGTTCTCCCCAATTGGAGATATGATATTCTAACTACTCAATAGTGCCCTCCATAGTCCTCCCTAACAATATGAACTCTGCCTAGGTAACAGGCTTTATTCTAGACCTAAACATATATAAGATGGGACTTAAGTACATACACTGTGAGGATCAACTTATATGAGCTCAGCTTATATGCTGAAGATATTGGATATCTGTGTTTTGATTGGCTGAAAAAAGCTAAAATTGAATATTTTCAGCATATAAGCTGGGCTTATATAAGTCAATCCCCACAGTGATATGGGATAAAACATTACTCTATACATGTGGGACAATGTCCAAGTGCATATAGAATGAGACCTTTATACATGTGGGAGAATATACAATCTAATACATGGTATGGCATAGGCTCTTTTTTCACTTGGGATAATATTTGAAACAGTGTTGGATTTTAACTGATGAGTTAACAAGTAGAGAGAAAAAAACAAGGCAATATAGGTGAACTATGTTTGTGTATTCACCAAGTAACAAGACTAAATGTCAAAAACTTGTTGAAAAGTTATTTAGGTAGTTTATCATATTCTGCCTTTAGATAAGAGATAGTTATATGGCCTAATTTCTTATTGTCAATGAAATTCAAGTTATTCAAGGTCTACTAGAAACCAGATATAAGTAGATTTTTTCATGTTGCATTTGTCCAGTTTGTTAAGGCAGTATCACCTGCTGGACTAATCTTGCTTTCATCAACTATTTCCCACAGCTTTCACAGAAAGATGGTGGGACAAAATATTATTAGATTATGTGTGCTAATGAGAATTACAAAATGTAAAGATAATAGAGTAGGTGTATTTTTGGGATATGATTATGAGAAAATAAAATAAGTGATTACAGATAACACATCATATAAAGGGATATTCCTTTGTATAGGGACAGGGCCTATGTAAATAGATGGGACTGTCCCATGTTAAATATGTCTGGTCCCTAATGACTATAGGTAGACCATAAAAAGGGGGATCTTAGCCCCAACCTTTTGGTGAGGATGATCAAGCTAAGAGCCCCAATTTTTTGGCTGTCTGAAGTGGTTTGATAACCGCTTAATCACTAGTGCAGTTTTTCTGTCTTGTAAATGAGCATTTCTATTTGATTTACACATTTGCCAGCTAGACGTGGTCACCAAGATGACGACTTTTGGTTACTTGCTTCCCCCCCTCCTAGAAACAGGCCTTGAATGAGGCTCCTGAGTTCAAGCCCAGTGAAAACCGGCTCTACAGAAATTGAGTACAATCAAGTGAAATCTAGTGCACCATTATGACTAGATTTCCATAGAAATATGATACTCTTTTGTAGAATAAATCTCAGCAAATCGAGTGAAATAGAAAATATTAATTGGAACAGATTGCAATAGATTTTAATAGATTATATAGTTGTCCAACATGTGAAAACATATCTGAATCCAATATACATTTTTCTTATAAAAATGCTACTGAGAGAACAGAAGGGATTGAAATATTATAGAAAAACCCAGAACTATATGTTAAAGTAGGGTGGTGTCAAGAAAACGCCCTAGTTCATCCTGCAACTTTGTTTTTGGACACATTTGTGACAGCTTCTTTCTTTTGACAAATAATACTATCATGAGCTAGAGACCACAGAATGAAAATTACAATACGCACATGTGCTTTGGTAGCCTGTGCTGTACATTCTTCATAGAGCTATGGGATATTGTTTAACATAGTCAGTGGCTTTGTTTCTCGATAGAAAAATGTGTATATACCTTCTTCACCTGGGTATTGAGGCTGTTGTAATATATCTTGTACTCTTCTGTAGCTCAGTTGGGAAACTCCTTGACCCAGTCATGAGCACAAATATTTCCAGGTGGGTTTTTGTGCCGCTCAAAGAAAGAGTTCAAAAAAAAGTGTATGGCTTTAACAAATACATACAAAGGTGTGTTGTAGTTTCCAGGCGGCATCCTATTAGGCATTTTTTACAGCAGGTGGGTTCCCCCTTGTGGAGTTTGGGACCACTACAGAGGCTGGCTCTATTGCACTTAAGGGTATGAGTGGTGACTTGGAGCTACCATGGATGGCATCCGCAACAGCCAGTGTGTGGCCTCTCTGAGAGAGATTGGCATACAGATTTGAGGGTTGATGAAATTCTTGCCCTAGGTTTCCTAATTGTCCATTGAGATGAACAAATACCCAGGCCATTTGCGACAACATCTGGACCAAGATATCAAGCGGTATCTAAACATGGTTGTACAAAATGGAGACAATCTGTTCATTGCTGGTAGTACAAAAGCTCAAATTCAGCAGAGAATTTGAGCACCTTTTTGTGTGCCTGTTGTAAATTTGATGTGGATATCCGGTGTTTGTTGAATATTTGAACACAAAAAACAAGTTTGCAAAAATTTCTCCAGTACTTCTCTGGGAGAATGCCATACAAGATACCAGGGCACAGTCCATAGATGTATAAGAAAAACTCCCAGGCCTTGTATCTGCTGGTGATCTTCTCAGCTGGGTTTTGTCGTGGACAATCAAATGAACCTGGAAGATGGGATGTACTATCGACAATGGCTTTTCCGTGTGTTTTCCATGTGTCTCCTACTAATACTCCCCAATTCCAGCTGCCCTTATTGCTGGTTGTCTCACAGTCAATGGTTTTCCACCACAAGCTGATGAGAAGGTCAGGTATATTTAGCGCAATAAGGTGCATAATGTGATAAAATTGGATAATGACCAGACCAGGGATTGAACCTGGAACCTTCTGGATACATGCCAGCTGCTCTACCAATTGAGCTATATGGCCAAGGTTATACAATGTAGGATCGTAAACATGACATGCAACCACGGACATCTTACACAGAATAGCTGCTGCATACTGGGCTGGCTTACAAATCAGAGGTATTATCCTATGGGGTATTGGTATGTCAGAGTATATTCTAACATAATGTTGGATCCAAATGTTTTTGGGATGCCAAAATGGTGACGAGGCAACGGTCTAAGAAAAATACTTGGTTTGGATATGCCCATTTCCAGACGGTGTTTCTTGTACTGAGTGGCATTCAGAGAGACAACAAGGTATTGTAAGTTGGCTTGATATGTCGTTAGTGAGCTCGGAAGTACCTGGCAAAAGTCAATTTCATTGTGGTCATAATTGTGTGGCTTAAACAGTGCTGGATAATAGTGCGTTTCTCCTGGTTTGTGACGACCTTTTTGCTCGCACATTGCTTTACAGCTATTTTTCCCATGATACCCTACAAAACCATTGCAATATACCAAACCTGGTCCATTAGATATGGCAATGGCAATGAACAGGTTTGAGATATAGTAAACATCCCTTAAAGCATCCCAGATTGGGAGGCCCTTGCTTTGAACTGCAGCAATGTGATAGAATCCGAGGAAAATGAACGAGTCAAGAATTTTTGGTTTGATTGGCCCAGGGATGAAACCGCCAGGCAGCATGTACTTCTTCTTGTGCCAAACATCAGGTGGGTGGACCATGACTACCCAGATATAGATCCAGCAGTCAGAAGGTTTGTTCTGAAACAGTTGGGCACTGTCAAGTGAAATCATAAGAACCCTGTTTTCAGAGCGTATACTGCCATCCTTAACAGTGTCAAGATAATCCTGGCCATAAAAGAAGTCATTATAGGATAGCAGGCTATTGTTGTCTCCGCTGAGTGATTCAAAGATTTTGGCTGTGGTGCGTGCACGATAACCCATGCTGTTTGTTATGATACACAATTTTTGGACCTTTAAATTTCATTCTCCACTTTAACTTTTTTTGTAAATTTCACACACTGTGCCATGCGGCACTTTCCTTTTGTTCAAAATTTCACTTTCTCGTGCTGCACTGCTTTCCTTCACTCTTAGCTACAAGTCTCTCACAGAGTGGAGCTGGTCACACGGGCTGTGCCCTATGACATCATCAGCCACTGCCTTCATCAACTGTATAGTACACATGTACAAATAGCCTGTAGATGTATATAAACCCCAATATATCAAGGAGACTCCTCAGCGAGTCCTCCTGTTGTTTACCCACAGCAAACTCGGTCCTACCATAAGAGAGATTATCCTCTCCTCCATCCACCACTCTCTGCTTGTCTTGTTGTATGCCAGAGTATACAAACTTTGGTTGTTACAGTCAGCACTATCTGGATGTCTCCAGAGCACTTGCAGCTGCGGTTCTATTGGGATGGTGTGAAAATGTTGCCAAGAAACCTTGAGTTGTCCACCAGTTGCAACTTTCTTGACTTGATCATAGCGGGGTTTACCGCACTTTGCACATGCAGTGAGGTCCACAAAAGGACCTGTGTATGCTAAACATGAGTTAATACACATGACATGGACAACTGAGTCCACCCCGCTTAGTTCAGCTACCCAATGTCTGACTTTCTCATAAGAAAACATCTTGCTTTCAGGATAGTATCAAAGAATAGCTCTGCAGACTGAGTTGTAAGTATTTTGTGGTACATTGTTGATAGCAAGGAATGTATCTAGGGACAGAAGAAAGTTAGGGTTATGACCAACCAAATATCACTCATGAAGTTTGTTATATCCCCAACTCCAAAGACTATTTACCTTTAAATTTTCTGGTGAGTAACGCCAAAAGACTAGAAAATATATCACGGACCTTGGTATTTGTAAATACTGTAAAAAACTCGCAGGCTGCACACCGGCATCTCAGGAAACTCTTACCTGAGAGTTTACAGGCTCAAGTCGACTTCTTGAATTCACAATGTTCTGTGCGCACCAAGAAGACTGTCTTGTAAAGATTTTCTGAAGCGACAACCAGATTGTTGGTTGTAACAGAGATTGTTGGGATGGTAAGGTGAAAAAAGCATTAGTTGAACAACCGCTTAAAATGTTTGTGTAGGGTTTGGACATACCTGATGTTGAATTGGTAATCCAGTTTGGAGTGCCCAAATCCCTCACCAATTGGATGCAGAGAGCTGGTCGGGCAGCACGGCTCCATTCAATGCAAGGTCAAGCCATTTTGCTTGTTGAGGCCTCAGTGCTCCGTAAGGTAGGTGTTAGTGTGGTGGTCAAAGAAGAACCTTTGTCAGATGGAGAGTGTGTAGTAAAAGGAGAAAAAAAACCAACCTGGAGCTTGAAAACCCAGAAGAAGACCTACAGTTCAAGAAAAAAATTGAGGCATCCTTGCGTAAATGGATCAAAACAAAAGGTTGTCGAAGGCTTGTTGCTAATAGGCATTTTGACAACCCACCAGGACAATCAGGTAAGGCAAGCTGTGCAGCTATCAATAAAGCAGGCAAAAAACCCATGCACACCATAACTCAAGAACCTGTGCAACGAACATTACAGCACTTGAGCCATGCCAATGCTGCACTCCAGCATTGGTGTGCTCAAGTTTGGCGCCGTGACTTCTTATACTGTTCATTCACAGGTGATGTCCTTATCCCTGACCCCACATTGACGTCCCTTGCTTCAAACCACCTGTGGAAAACACTTGAAGAGATTCATGAGGGCCTGCTTGCACCTTGGGCACTTGTGGATTGATATGGGGAGGAAGCTTTGAAGGTGTTGGCTGATGTAAATCATCAGGACAAGGAGCTGCGGGAAGCAGCCAAGATAGAGAAGCGAGAGTTGAAGAGGCAGGCCACAGAAGCTGCAAAGTTGAAGAGGCAGGAGGAGGTCAGACGGAGGAGGATGCAAGAGTCATCAAGACGAAGAGCAGGGATGATACAAGGGCTATCCAAAAAAAGCCTCGCACAAGCCAGAAGGAAAATGTACCCCTTCCAGGGTTCTCTCAGTAAGTTGTTGATTCTTCGAGTGTAAAGGTTGTGCATAGCCTCATGTATCTGTTAGATTTCATGCCAAGCTTGACACTCTTGTCCCACAGACACCCTCACCGCAAACCGGCCCTTGTTTATACACCAACTGGCCTGTAGATAGACTGCCAGTGCACATTGCCGATCCATCCCCCTTCACACCAAATGACTATAACTACACTATTTCATACACCGCACACTCCCCATTCACTCCCATTTCCCTTCGTAAGTCACAAGCGAGGAGGCCTTAGGTGTAATACTGAAGTACTTAGCATAATGTTGTGTAGTCATAGTCACACATAATATATATTTCATTTTTCTGCCTACACAGTGAAAATAACCAGCCTACCAAGTCTCCTCCATAGATCGCTTGTAATCACAGTTGTCCCACCAGTTCAACATTGTTTTGAGGGTGACAATGTTGAGTGCACCATTAGTAACGACATCTGGAATGATATCTGCCTTGGTTTTAGCTGTACGACCCTCTACTTCAATGTGAACCTGTGAGCTTGTGTAGGCATCATGCAGACGCTCAAGGTCCTTCCCTTTGCTAGGATCTGTATGGGAGATGCCTCGTTGAAGGGGTTGGATTTGTGTCTCCAAGTGTTTTTAGACAGCTTGAAGTGTTGGCAGTGCAGGTGGGATCTGTATGGGAGATGCCTCGTTGGAGGGGTTGGATTTGTGTCTCCAAGTGTTTTCAGACAGCTTGAAGTATTGGCAGTGCAGGTGCTCGATCTTTCATGAGATCTCAAGTAGCATGAGCACCATGCACAGCGAATGTCACCTGCAAAAACTGTGTAATTGAAACACCTGCATAGAATAGAAATACTGACCTTACTTTCTTTGATGTTGTGCTCCTGGTCTTTGTCCATCAGGAAAAATGGGGGTAGCTATATAGAGCTTTATAGCACTATAAGTACTCATAAAGCTGTTATAGTGGTCAAACCTGTTATAGAACCTCTGCCATCTATAAAGCCTCATATAGCTCTATAAATGCTCTTATAGATGTTGGAAATTGTTGTGTGGCTGATAAAAAAAAAATTAACACAGACAGGATTTAAACTCTCAACCTCCTAGTCAGCTTTTGGGTGACTAAGCAATATAGCCAAACATCACATTTATCCACTACACCATGAAAGCTTATAAAATGTATTATACAGGTATTATATATTGACCTTTCATGGACTTAGATTATTTTTTTACTCATTGTCACCACTTATATATTTGGATAAATCATTATTTTTATTTTATAAATATCAAAAATACAAACTACTGTTTCACTAATACAGGCTACATGATTAATTAGTACTGTAGAATTTATTAGCCCTTTTAAACACCTTGAACTATATTATAACTATGACCTTTACAGCTATAGGAGCTATGTAGGCTACTATAGGCTATAAGAGCACTTATAGTATCTTGCCTATATTAATATACTTGACTCCAAACACTTCTGGCCTCTTTCTATTATTGAACAAATTTATTAGATTAATGCAGAATTTGAGGGAATTATAGATACTTCTCCCCTTGGTTAAAATTTTGCCCACTACTTTGCTATAAGGGCTATAAGAGCTATGATTGCACTGATAGTACTATAGTTTCTATGAATTCATTTATATATATAGGTGGTGGCTATATAGCGCTATATAGCAAAAGGGTTTTTCCTGATGTCTATAGCAAAGAATTGGTGTGGCAGGCCAGTGGTGTTCATTAGCCAGCATCTGTCTTGTATAAACTGCCTGTGTGCCTGTCAGTGCGCTGTCAATTCTGTTATAGTTGAGCAACTTACTTGACTTGGGGGGGCCATTTATGATAAATACATTGAAGAAGTTCGAGTATTTCAATTGTATACTTTGAGTTACCCCCTCCTGCGAAGCAAAAGAAAGCGAAAGAGTAGGTGAGGTAGTGATTGTTCCATAACTCCAATGTCTCCACTCTCGATGGCATCATGGAGGTCCAAATACCTCAACACATCACGGTTCCACATCACAGATTGACGGAATACCTGATCTTGCTTCTCAGCTGGCTGTAGTTTGATATCGTCGAGCACATCTGTTGATGACAACTTTTGAATGATTGTTTCAGCTATTTGTTGTAATTCAGCTGGATTTTTACTTTGCAGCTCTGCTAAGCTATTGACCACTCCAATTACCTGCCAACAAGTCCAAATGTGAGCCTCGGCAACATGAGTGATAGCGTCATGTAAGTTTTGATGAAACAGACCCGTGGTCTGTACATAGTTCAGTCCTTTGCGTTCCAGCAATGTGAATGCATGCATTAATCCACGACCAGCTATAGTTCCAAGGTATTGCTTATGGAGTGAATTGGCGAAGGCCATTTGTAAGTGGAACCAGCCAAACACTGGGATGATCCAATCCATTTGGTCAAAAACATTATGATCCTGGGCACAAAACTTGTACAGGCCGCGGAGGAGCTCAATAGTGAGCTGGTCACCCACCCATGGAATGACACGCTCCATGCCAGTTCAATGTTGTTCTTCGTCAGAATGCAGCCCAAGCTGCTTAAACCATTCTGTCAATAGTTTATTGTTCCCTTCATAACTTGCTTCTTCGATATGGACTGTCCCGAGCATGTACTGTTGTGTAACATATGCTCGGCCAGAAGGAAGTTGTTGAATTGGCAGAGGAGGGGTGAACACCAGATCATCTCGGTGTGAATAGGTTGCATGAATTCAGGACATTCAATCAAATACCGTAAAACACGGAATGTGTCTCAAACATGTCTTGAAGGTGTCGCTTCACATTCCAATGCAAAAATTTCAGATGTACTTAGGGGAGTTAGACGACCAGCTGCACGGTATTCCTGTAGTGTACAATTACACAGAGGAGCAATAGGTGGAGCATCTGGTTGGAAATATACAGTTGCTGCAGTCCCAGAGTCAAAATGGCTTTGGTTGTCGATACACTGTGAATATACACGAAATGGGATGTTGAGGTTGTCGTGGGATATGACAAATGGGTGGGATCTGACAAGGTGTCGAACCTTGTCCATTTGGTTGGAAGAAATAGACTTGAATGCACGCACTGACCAGCGATGACTCATTGTAATGCCCTGAGAGCAAAGGAAGGTGGTGAGAAGCTTTGGCCACCTATTATGATGATGCGAGCGGGAAAACATTAGCTGAAAAATGATTGAGATGATCACTTGGGTCAAATGAGAAAAGAAAGACATATAGAGACTGTAAAAGCACTCACGAAATCTGTATTTTGCCCAGAGTTTTGTTTCTCTTGTGTAGGGGTTCTTGTTAGTCGCTGAAGGAGCTCCCACAGCTTGGGTGTGCCTCCAAAGCCAGGACTCTGGAGTTTGAGGACCAAGTCGTCAATTAGCAGGCTGGTAAGACCCTCTTCACTGACATCTTTGGGCGGGCACTTTGCTAACTCCTGTATGCTATTTAATTCTCTTTCAATAGCTTCCCTAACACATGAGAAGGCAAATGCCTCGAGTACATCCTTTCCCACAGTTGCACGCGCATTGTGAGTGCCCTTGGTCTGGGGTGGTTTATGCCAGCGGGCCAGTATCACTGGAAGCTCATCACTTACCATGAGAGCTGTCCTTTCATAGCGGATCTCAGGGTCCGTGATGCAGTTGTAGTCGCCCAAGCTGAGATAATCTAAGAATAAGGGAAGATTGAGCCCAAGCATGTTCATGTATTCCAGCACCAAGCGAACTTTGGAAGCAGGAGTGCCGGTGAGTTGTGTCTTGAGTTGAGATGTGTATTGTAGCTGGACAGGGCGTATATTTAAGTTCTCTGGGTCACTACTGGGCTCTGTATCAGTGGATGATAATGAATTGTGTGTATTATTGACCGCTGAGGGGGCAAATGGATTGTTGTCGTCCTCGAAAAAAGCCTCACCGCTATTGCAATTAGACAGGCTCTCACATTCAGTGGGATCGATCATGGTTCGAAAGATAAGATAAAATTTCGATTTGTAAGCTACTGCTCGGTTCTTGTAACAACGTTGCCGAACGCAGCCGTCGGACAGGTGTGACTCGATGCACTCGTCACCTATCAAAAGTCACCAGACGCTAGGACGTTCCCTCCTAGCTCTGGTCACGAGACTAGCAAAATACAGGCCTGAGGGGGGATCACATGTCTGCGGGCGGGTCCAACTAGAATTGTATAAACTTCGTTTTTTTTTAAAAACTCGAATTATTTATTCAACGAGAACTTGTGCTTCGGTGAGATATCCGGTACTATTTCCTGTGACCAAGGCGAAAACAGACCTGGCAACCTACGTACGGTACCAGGAGCTGAACAGTCCTGATATCAAAGGAAGAAGAAGACTCAAATAATACATTGACAATAATATTTCAAGGATTGAGAGGGTCATTTTCGTATTTAGATAGATACAGAACAATACATTTGTCTTGATGTTTTGATTCGTTCTATATCGACCTGTATTTTGCGGCTTTCGGCTGGGGTTGAAAACTTAAGCTGGCAAAACTTTTGTCGACTTTTTTGTTCAGATTTCCTGTAAAAAAAAAAATGAGTTTCCAGCATTTCAGGCTCGGGCAACTGGCGATGTCCCAGCCTTTGCCTCCACATTTGCAGCAGAACCAGCCTTCTTCTTATTCCCAAAATGTTCCTTCTGTCAGCTCGACGTCCACTACCGTAGCCTCGACGTCGACGGCGGCATCGGCAACGTCTTTGAAACCAGGCTTGTCTAGGGCACCGTACGGCTCAGGTGATTCAGACGATGGTTATACGCTCATTTTTCCTTCCATTACGGCGTTTCACGACTGGCGCAGACAGGAAGAAGAAACGCAGATGGTCGAGTTCGTGAAGGGAGACACCCATGGTAGTAAAGCTGTTCCGCCTCGTTTCAAGGACCACACAAAGCTCGTTTGTGCTCGCCATTCAAGGAGTGGACGCAAAAAGTATGTCAAGAAGCATCCTGAAAGAGTCAGAAAGATTCCTAGCAGAAAGGTATGTGCCGTCGAGTGAACAAAATGCGTTGCAGTTTTCGAACAAGCACTGCTAATGTCTTCGTTGGCCAGGATAGCTTGAAGGACAGGGTTGCCAGGCATCCATAAGCTATAAGACATACTTTGACACAGAAGACGTACGCGCTTGCTGTGAGTCTCATTGATGTTTCAAAGTACTGGTCGTCGATCTCATCATCTCACTAGATATATCAGAACACTCTCATCCCATCGGATTAGCGAATCTCCCATTCACTCGACGAGGTCGACGGGTTGCTGTGCAAGAAGGGAAGGAACGCTCAAAGCGCAGCTCTCAACCTGCTTCGTCTTCAGTGGCACCTGAAGGACCCTCAGTAGGGAGTGGTTCGCCTATGCCTACTCCCTCAGTTTCTACCATGAACTCGGGTGCCAGCGGTGATCCATCCTCTATGTCACTTTCGCAGCAGCAGCAGCGACACATGCCACAGTATCCACCCAACATATCGCAGTTCCCCCAGCATTTCCAACCCTATCAGCAATCTCCACATGCTCCCGCGCCATATCAACAGATGCCTCCTCCCGCGACAAATGCTCCCTCCGAGCGAGAACGCTGGGACCGCATGAGCGTGCTTTTCACATCCATCCGCGATCACGCACGTGCATTCGAGTACCCTGGCTCAAGCATCGCCGCTCTCGAAAGCGTCCTTATTCGCCTGTATCTCGAAAGCCCTATGGGAGTCGTTAGCGGCAGCGGCACTGGTCTCGGTGCCTTGGGCATCAGTATGCATGGCGGCGGTCCACATATTCAGCACGGACAGGGACAAGGACAGGGCCATGGACTCGGAGTTCATGGTGTGCATCCCGGTGCGCAGGGGCACGATGGATCTGCTCCTCATGATGCGTCTGGAGGTGTAACTCAAGTGAATGGCGGAATGGAGAACAATATGGATGGTGGCACCTAAGGTAATAGTCATTTCTAACACGGTGTTATACATTAGGACTGGTGATTATAATTTAGAAGAAGAACATCACCATGTTACCATTTGATGTATAATTCAAGTCTTAGACTCGCCGTGGCGTTGCCGCGGGAGGGAACCTGTAGCACCAGTTCCTGTACTGTCGTTCCCCACCATTTCGGATGCTACTGAGCATTCGGACGTCACATACTCACATCTCCTGATAAGATAGGCCTCATCCACAATCGACGCCATCACATGACGTGACTTGGCCTGTGACAGCCAGTGTTACTCTCACTGCAACTTAGGAATTATGCACACAATGATTTATATATCTTCTGTATATAACTCCCTAAGAATGCATTCTGGAAGGACACAATGTTCATGATATTTCTTTAAAGCCCATCCTGCCTGCTTCCCATTGAGGCCCTTCTTGTATGCATCAATGAATCTGCATGATCATGTATAATATCTGCCAGTGGATGGTGTTGTTGAGTAATATTAAATGAATAAGGTGGAGATATAATGCTCACCGTCGCATGGTGTCAAGAGGCACTGATTCCAAGGCTGCAAGGATGTTACATTCTAGATCAGCTTCCTTTGATGAAGCAGGGTATTGTTGGTAAATGTGCTTTGCAAAGCCCCAACATTGCTCAATAAAGTTGAGTTCACAGTGGAATTTGGGAATGAATATTACAGTAAAGCCTCGGGCTTTGCATGTCATCTCCAGTAATGATTCAATCTGTGCAAAATCAGGTTAATTAAACAAGATGTGCCAGCAACAACAATTAGTGACCCCTTTTGCACACTTGAAGTCTGGACATTGAGCACGGAAATTTGACTGCAACAAAACCATGCTTGCTGAGAATGATAGCCATGCCTTTGAAAAACCCAGCTTGTGGATGTCCAGGCTCAAAATAAAGTGACTGCTTTGTGCCATCAGCAAATGTTGCTCCCTCCATGTGAACCTTTGTTTTTGAGGGCTTCCCATTTGGGCTGTACACTGGTTTCCCATTATCATCTCGGACATTAACATCAACACCCCAGTTACTATCTGGCTTTGATGCAAACTTGGGCATGTGCCTTGCAGATAGGGCACCATTTGCTCGCTTCAGGTGAGTTTTGGCATTGTTGTAAACAAAGATATGCTCCTTGTCTGGATAGTGCTTCTCCACAATATCTATTGCTTTGTTTGCCTAAGCAAGGATCTCATCATTGGTGAAATAACCTTCAAACTTTAAAGGTGCTCTTCACCGAAAGAAGAGCAACAAAGAAAATAAGGAAAATGTGTGGTCATTTCATTGGACTATAGGTTCTATGCATACTGACATAACACTCATAGATACTGCCCTCAGACACCATGATTTCACCTCCTGCAAGTCCTCAAAAGAAAAGATGTAGGCTTTTCAGAGCCATCAGCACTCAATTAGCTTTGTTTACATCCCAAAGAGCAAACTCACCTGCACATCCAACCATCCCAGAAGTGTCAACTAAGGCCAACCTGAACATAGTACAAGGGTCAGAGGCAGCTCCAACAGTGCCGATGAATGCCAGTGATGATCACATGAGGGAAATGGAAATGAATGGATGTGCAGAGGCTGTGATACAAGATAATGCCAGTATGATGACTCAGGGTGAGCAACAGGCTACAGAGCCAATTGATAGCTCACCTCATATAGTCTTGCATCACAATACAGTGGTTTCATCAATTGGAGTATTTGAGCCTCCACCATCTATCAAAGAAGCTACTTTAGCTTTAGATGACCTCAAAACAATATTGAGGCCACCAAGACATAGTGGGAGAGGATACAAAGACCCAGAGTTTGATCTACTCTTCTGTAGTTGCTTGGAAGGCATGCAACAGTTTCTGTGGATATATGTTGGCTCCACATCAGAAAAACAAAGATGCTGGCAGGCTGCATCTTCAAGGATGGCAAAAAACCTTGAAAAGGGTCCATATTATGCACGGAGGCTGCAAGACTGGATACATGGATTTATCAATGATTGTGAACAGCTGCCTGTGATCCTGTATGGCACCTGGAATGAAAGCATATTAAGGGTGAGGGGGCATCTCAAATGGTCGCTGACATGGTCTCTGCCGACCAGGGTTGGTTGAGGTCACCTAATGGCAAAGAACAAGTGCGTGTTGTCTTCAAAGCTGCCCAACCACCAAGGTTGGTGAGCTGTTTTAGTTTACACTTTGGCATTGTGTACTTCAACACAGAATCCTCAGCGCTCAGCAGCACAACACGTGACAATGCAATGTGGCTGAATTTTCAGTCATATTTGTCACAAGATGTCTATCTCTTTTTACACAACATTGTTTTTCAAGATTCTACTTGCAACAATCTACTTATATTTACTGCACGCAGCTTTTCTCGCAAAGGAAAAATCTAAATAATTTGACTGGAATGAGAAGATAGCAATTTCTCTCATTTGTCTTGAAGTGTAACACTTTTGTCACGTGATGGTGTTGATTGTGGATGAGGTCTATCTTACCTGCAAACTGGCACAACAGGCGTGATTTCTGCGTGACAGGTTAAAAATGCGGGACTCACTATAGCACAGTCCTCAGGGCACCCTGCGTAGATGAAATTTTTCATGGTATGATACAGCATCATTATCGCTATTGGTGTCCCATACGGTTCTTGAATGCAGGATTTGGACAGACACGTTACAAGTATGTTGATGCGAAAAAGTATGCTTTATAGAAATATTGTAAAGCAATGATTGGCAATAAAGTACTTTTAGGTATTTGAACATTCATTATGCACTGCAAATGAAAGTCAAATGAGAGTACACTACAGTAATATATTGTCAATGCAGGATCAAATGAGGTGATGAAATGTAATGAAACTATAGAAAATTAGTAAAAAACTGCAAAAGTGAAAGGAGGAGCAAGTATGAAGGAACCAAGATGTTCAAAAGGCCGATATCTCTTGGGAGAAGTGAGTGGCGGCGGAAGGATCAGAACAGGAGTGTTTGTTGGCAACAATTCCACCACACCATTTGCAATGGTCATGGTAAAAATGCAGGTGGGTGTTGAAGGCCATTTATGATGTTATTCTTGATAGAAGTTGTAAAGGAAGGTACTCTGTCGAAAGTTATGAGGTGGATATGGGAGCTTGGCTCACACTTGAAAGAGAGAATGGGTAGGATGTTGTTGTTGTATTCAGGTATTAGAGTAGATGCTTCTTCATTGAGTGTGTCATGGATATCCCAGTAAGTTTGATATAGTTTTTGTGCCGCAAGGATGATGGGGGGAAAAACAAGTGGTAGTTGAGTTGAGTGATATGAGAGCATGAGCATTTGTCATGTGACAAAGAAGGCACATGATCATAGGGCAAGCACCATCTGTTGGGACATAACCAGCTTTGTACATGCATGACTAGCACTGGTAATAGAGATGCCAGTGTTGTCAGAGTGGTGCAAGACAAGACACAATAGACCTACATGCATGTGAGAATGTATAGTACGAGAAACATGAGTTGCAGCATCTGAGTTGCTAGGAGGCATTGAGGTCAATATTTTGCAGTAAAGAGAGGAAGGAGCATTCTTCAGCAATAGATGATGGGGATTTCCACTGTGAAAATACTACCAGATATTGTGTGTGATGTCCTGAGAAGTAATACATGCATTTTCAACCCAGTTGGTTAAGATTGGCCCATTTTTCAGGATAAGATTTTGGCTATAAGTAAGGGCCTTTTTTTATGCACAAATAACAAATTGGCAATGTGGTTTGGGATCTGTGTTGATGTCAGAGAGGCAACTGATCAATATAACTGGTAATAGGAACAATCACGCTGAGGGACACAATCATAAAAACACCCCAAATTATGCATGGTAGATTGCCCTGGCAATGATTCCAAGCAGTGGAGCATGGCAGGATTGTCAGGTGAGTAAGGCATGGAGATCCCTAGAATACCACTTTCAAGACATTCATGTGTCATGTTTTGGATTTGCAATATGACCGGTTTCACTTGGAAACAGGTAAATAATTAGGGCTGTTGTTGGGGGTCAAAGTTGACTAGAATTTGCGAAATCACTGTGTACATGCAGAGCTTCAGTAAAGTGTGCGGATGGCGAAGGGCAGAGACTTACTCACAAGCTGATCTTCCACAAAGGGTTCTATTCATGTAAGAGTTGATGCCCTCGGTGTAATCCAATGCATGGCATAATCACATGTAGACATTGAGCTGCTTCTTCCACTTCCTGGTCGGAGGGGAGTTGACAGTGCAGGGAGGTGAAAAGAGAGGAGTGAAATTTCAATATTTGTATTGATGGTATCCAACAAAAAACATTTCAATAATAATGAATATAAGAGCAGCCAAAGGATTGGCATCAGACAAAGGACATTTCAATATTGATCAATGGAAGAGTGGCCAAGGGATTGGCAGCAGATGAAGGACCTTTCAATATTGATAAATTGAAAAGTGGCCATGGGATTGGCATTGGACAAAGGACTTTTAATATTGATGAATGTACTAAGGATGCCAAATTTAACCTGTAATTTGTGTATCATTACCAGTGTGCATTACATGGTCATGTATATATCTATATCAAGGTGTATTTGCAACCATATCAGAAGGGAAAGGTGTGCACAACTGAAAGAAACAGAAGAGGAACAGAGAACAAGAGGCTGTCAAATGTTATTGGTGGTTTAACAAGAGTAGATGACAGACAGTTATTGTAGTTCTAGGAATATATTCCAAGTTTGCCAATGGTCAACAGTTTTGTTGTGTTTGTAGTATTTTATATACTGTAGACTTCCATAAGGTCTACATCATTTACGCTAACATGACAAGCAGAATAGGCATCTATATTGCATTTCTCAATGAATGAGTTACAAGAACGGGAGAGCCTGAATGTCTGTGAGCCAAAAAATTAAGCAGGTTATAGAAACTCACTGTTTGACAATTTCCTTGTCAGTCAAAAGGAGTTTGATGGCGCCAGGCCATGATATTGCCTCAATTATTGCCTTCTGTATTTAGAGAGAAGGCAGTTAGAATATGTGAAGTTACATGCAGTCATTGAAAACTAACCTTGCTAAGGTTCTTGCAAGGAACCTATAAGATCATAAGAAATAGCAAGTGTGGTTGTGCTAAATAGATCAATAACAACATTTGATTGAGGGTGTGGTGCACTGTTTGGCCCAGACACAAAGAACCAGACCTTGCTGATGCAACCAACCACCCATATTGTATAAGGTGTGTTACTTCCAGGGTGGCAAATTTAGTGAGACCATTCTTTTTTGTGCTTCTTCATTCCCCAAGTGTTGATGGGAGGTAATTGTTTGATGCTGTAAGTGTAGTTTTCTGAGTTGGAGTAATTGACAAAGTTTTGGACACAACTGGGATGAAAGTATATAAAGAGTGTGGATGGAATTGATCTTGTTTATGCACTGGATTAGTTTTTCCTCAAACATTGATGTCACTGCATTGTGCAAAGAGACAGTGAGAGTATGTGCATAGCATAAAGAAGGTGTTGTTGAACTCCTTACATGGCCTTGGAAAGCACATTGTTTCCTGCTTTTCTTGCTACAATCTGTTCAGGGGCGAGTTCACTTATTGTACATCATGTTTTTAGTGGATAACAATTAAAAAGGTGGCACACCTGTCAGCAGATCATGTAGCAATGCCTTGCGAGCACACTTGCTGATCTACATTCCCACTTGTTTTAGTTTTTTTGGCCAAAAATTTGTCAGGAGCAGGAGAGTCAGTAGGTGCATTGTGTTTAATGGCTGATATTGTAGAGGGACAAGTGCAAGTAATGACTTCCAGTATGTAACAGAGGATGTTTGTGAGCAGCAGAGGAAAATAGAGTTAATAAGACATAACCCATTGCAAGGGGGATGGAAAAATGATGGAAGAGACTAGCCAGATTTCAATGGTTCAGATCAGAGTGCAGCCTGCATTTCCCCAAAATAAGGGGGGTACCACATATTTCAAATGTTAATAGGAGACCTGAACGTTGGATGGAGAAATGTATTGAAGTGTATTTACAAACAAAAAGCTTTTATCAGTATCCAAGGCCAAAAATTGTATAGTGATTGACAAAATATGAGAGGCATTCGTTGCCAATCAGCCTTTGTTGGAGTTGGACTTTATTCGGAGCTTGATAAGAAATAATTACAAATTGGTGTGCAGACAAGCAGATAACACTCACCAAACACAATGTAGGGATGGAGCAAGTTGCAAGAGATATTTGGGGTTCAAGTGAGCACAAATGGAATTTTTGCCTGTATAGCCTTTATAAACACTAATTTTGAGGGATACACCAACATCTACAAAATCCCCCTTCTGAAATAAAGTGTGTGAGCAGGGCACTACTTTCCCTTGCAAATCTTTGCGGGAAAGGGTGATTTTTTGCAGAACATGCCACTTGTCATTCACGAGATCTGCTTTGTGGGAAGGATAGTCTGTTGTGTGTAGGGCAGATAGGACTTCACAATCAGTGGCTGTTATCTAAAGGGACATCAGGAAACACTACCTATTTTGGATGCAAGGTAT